AAAAAAAAAAAAAAAAAAAAAAAAGACTGCTTTCTAGATTGTGGAGAGATTACTGTAAGGTTTAGCATTGTTTGGGGCAACCCACTTTTCTTTCCCCCTTCTGTGTCTCTTAGACAGAAGCTATCTTGCTCTCTATAAATTTTCCTATTAAAGAAAAAAAAAAGTTTAGTACTATTTAAGCTTGAGTTTTAATCTAGGGTGAAAGAAATGAAGAGAGAAACACCTAGTTATTATTTGCTCTCTATATATTGTGACTTCAGATTATTTTTGGATTAAAATTCAGAGTTAAGGAGAACCTGAAACTGTTCCCTTTTGGAAAGCACTTTTTATTCTCAAAGCGTGTCTTTAAAATTTTCAGCTAATTTTTATAATCTTGAAACAAATCCTGTGTCTAAAGCTTTAAAACAGTTACTTTAGTTGAAAGAGTAAAGATGAAACTGAGTCTCAGTACTTTTTCTAAATCTTGGTTTGATTCAGTTGTTTCTTGAGTGAGCTTGCCTGCCTAGCTTCTGAGTTGTTGCCCAGTAACACATTGAAGCATAGCATAGCAACCAGTGAAAACAGTAGCTATTGACTATGGGGATTTTCCTGGTGAAATTGTAGTGCCTATCTCTAGTGTTCACATTTAACCTCACTCTCTCACTTAAATCACATTTTGATTTAAGGCAGATATTTCAGATATCATTAAATCTAAAGAGCATAATATATGCTTTTAAGTATATTTTTTGGAGCGCTGACAAATTATAACTTTCTGCACATTGGTTTTCACATAGAGTTGCATTATAAATATATACTGAGTTGAATTGTAGTGTATATGAAGGACATATGAAAAGATTGATTCACCTAAAGCTTTTGTATAGAGAAGCTATTAAGTAATGACATCAAAGTTCTCTAACCAATAAAGCCACTCAGAGCTGGAGTGATTGAACCTGAAATGGACTTTTGTATTCTTTCTTGTATTATTACTTCTTCAAACTTAGATCAATAAACATAATTTAATAGGTACTGTGATTTTGTGGGAAGAGAATGTGATTCAAGAGACCAAAACTTGACTGGGTGAGTCACCTAACCTTTCTTAGACTGTTTTCTCATTTGAAAAATAAATCTCTAAAGACTTTTTGTATGCTTCCAATTTTAAGCAACTTCTCTTTTTCTTGTTCATGTGTTTAGTCATTTTTTGAATGCCTCATGTGTCTCCAGCTATACTAGGAACTGGGGAGATGGAGAGTAAAATATCAAGCATCTTATCTGATTGGGGAAATTGATAAAGTAAATAACAATTTGCTATAAAACATGATAGATACTCTAAAGATGCATTCTAGGGTATGCAAAAAAGGACACCTAATTAGAGCTGCAAATAGAATGAGGAGTGGTTGTTAGAATTACTGAGTATAATTTGAGAGTATACAGAGAAGTGCTCTTTCTGGCCTGGAGGGAGTAAGTCAAGAAAAATTAGGGAGCAAAAGTTTCTTGGAGATGGAGCCATAGAATCAGGAGTATCCAGCAACAGTGATAGTTGAGATTCTGGATGTTGATGACATTCCTAGAGTGTGTGGAAATCAGAAAATGGTGAACAACAGCATGTAATGGATAGATGGAGAAAGAAATTGGGAAGGAAAAGAAGAGTGGAAAGTGTGCTTGTCACATTTAATTTGTTGGTTAAAATTGGTGTTCAAGAAAACACCTGTTATGTAATGTTGCTCATCTATAGAAAGTGTCTTCTACAAAGATCTGAATTTACGAAGGAAGACAAAGTCTTGATTAAAAAGGAAAGAATATGTTTTTTAGAATCAGATTTCTGAGTCAAAATTTAGAATCTTGGCTATATAACTTTACTACCTTCTTGGCTTTTCAGATCATTTAATCTTTTCATCATTGTCTTAATG